CTCTCTTATTCTAAATCTGTTTGAGCCTCTTCTGTTTTTCAAGAAATCTTTTGTTCCAACAAGGTTGATCATGGCTTGTAGGGGGGACCTTCCCCCCCTTGAATTTAGACAGATTTATTTCTAGAGGGAGGGTGAGAAGTAGGTGAGAAAACTTTTATTAACAGAAAACAATGCAGGGAAGTTTTTTTTTCCTCTTGGAGTCTAAAGGAAAGGATTGTCACAGATAAATTCCTTGGAAAACCTTTTGGTATTGACTGAATCGTGCAGGAAATAAAATTCTGTTAAAACAGATTTCAGGGAAGAAAAAGGAAAACATTCAAGGGAAAATGGTGACATTCATTAGGGATCCCCGAACGTTGCTTTGTTTAACAACCAGGCAGATCCAGGTAGTCTTCGACTTAACAACAGGTCATTGAGTGAAACAGGCGATATGTTGTTCATACGTTTGGCCACCAGGTGGCAGCATTACACAGGCCAGGTTCCTTTCTCTCAGGGTGTTGCTAAGAAAATCGGGCAGAAGGAATCCAAATAATTGTCTTTGAATAATCATGACACTCACTTGATAGGGGTGTGCATTTTTTCTGCAACCTGAAACGCTGAAAGTTTAGGAGAAGGGAGGCAAGTCTCATATTTTTAAGCTGGGTTCTTCTTTTGGATTGTCTCGGAGGCTGCGTTCTCGTCCCTATGGCTGAATCATTCGTCTCTTTTGAACCCAAAGTGCCAAATATCCCAACAAAACCCCTTTTATTAAATGAATGTGAATTCCTCTCGTTCACATTCAGCCAAGGCCTGGCAAACAGTCTTTCAAAGGTGACGTTATGGCCACAGACCTCATCTAGCGTGGAAAGCTGCCATGTCGATATTTTCCAAAGGAGGTGAAGACTTGGCACAGAGTCCCTGAGATTCACGGACAGATCTTCACACTCCTGAAACGAATGAATGAACGAACGAATTGTTTCCCACAAAAGCCCACTCCTCTTGCTCCTCTTTCCCCCCCTATGTAACTGGCCATTTGCCGTCCATCTGTGGCTTTACTCTTAACCCTGATTTCTGAGCTGTTCTTTTCTTCTGGCAGCCCTGCGCATGTGCACACTGGGAACAGGCTCCAGATGTTCCTCTGCCTCACTGCTCTCTAGCTCCGAAGGCAGCTGAGAACTATCATATGGCTCTGCCCCCCTCCCTCTGCCTCCGACGCAGAGCCCTCATCCGAGCCTTTCCCAGATTCCAGGACTGGCCCATGTTCCCCCCCCAACCTCCACACTGTCCGACTCTGCTGCCAACTCTGCTGGCTTCTGACGGGCCACAACAAGTCCTCAATTTCTCTTGATACAATTCTCTTTTNCCAGTCACATGACTACCTAGCTACGCCCACCCAGCCAGTCATTAGGAAGATCACATTAGATCATATTTATTTAAAATTATGAATTAAGTGGCCCCTGAGATCGAAAGGTTTGGGAACCCTGTTCTGGAAGAGTATGAGTGAGTTGTGGTAGTAGAACCCAGGTGTCAGGTTTCCGAAAGATGCCCTAATTGATTCATGAGCCTCAAGCCAAGTTTCAAAAGAAATCCAGTCATTTATTTGGAGCACCATTTCGGCAATACCGCTTTGCAGTCAGATCTAAATCTCATTTGAATTACGGCTGACCTTTACTTCTGTTCCTCCCCTCCCCTCAGTCTAAATCACATTCTCCAACGGGGTGCAGTCCTCACAAGTCTGCTGCAGTAATCCGAGATCCGATTCTAGCCGAAGGAACACGTGGAATGCGCTCCCCCCTTTCAGTATAGCGTAGTCTTTATTGTCATTGTACAAAATAAATACAATAAAATTGGTTTCCTCATCATGGCAATTTTATGAGTTGACATTCGGCTCCCCTCACTTTCCAAAAGCAACTTGTGCGAAGCAAAGACAATTTGAGCACAGGTATAGGACTTCGGGCTACGTCCTCCCCCAAAGTTTGTTTGGATTTTTGTCCCAACTGGGACCTCCTCACTTTCTGGTAGTCTTACCTCTCTCTCTCTCTCCCTTCTCTCTCTCTCTCTCTCCCTCCCTCTCTCCCTCTCTCTTTCTCTGCCCTCCTCCACCTTCCCCCTAGGACCAGAGGGCTGCAACCTGTTTATCTACCATCTGCCCCAGGAGTTTGGGGACGCAGAGCTGATGCAGATGTTCCTGCCATTCGGTAATGTCATCTCCTCGAAAGTGTTTGTGGATCGGGCGACAAACCAAAGTAAATGCTTTGGTGGGTAAAGATAACAAAACAATTAGTTTCATCCAGGAAAGGAACTTTCTCTGAACTACTCTGACCATTATTATGATTATTATGATTATGATTTCCTGCTATTTATTTATTTTTTCCGGTTTTTGCAAAAATTTATATCCCGCTGACTCTTTTCCCCCTCCCCTCTCGCTTGACCTTTGTTGATCAGCTCTGTCCTTCCTTCCCTCCAGGGCCTTTCCTCTACCTTCTCCACCTCCTTCCTTCTTACTGTCCCCGACTCGAGTCCTGCTGTGTCTCCTGCTACACAAGGAAATGTGTGGGGCTGCATACCCCAAACCCTGGCTGCAGAAAAGGGGGAAGCCCCATACACTGGGGATCAGTGGGGGGCGGCTTCTAGAACAATTCACCGTGTCCAGCTCCCCACAGCCAACTCATCAATTCAACACTGTATGAATCGATTCCATTCCATTACTTTTATTATCGGTGACTAGATTTTGGTCAAAGTTATCGTAACCCTCCTGTTTCCGAATTGGCCTCCTTTGCTTATGATTTGCCAGGCTTCCGTTCGAAACTAATGTAAGCTTCCGTATTTGTTGACTTCTTGTCCCGCAGTTCTTGGTCGCATTGAGTTGGCCAAGGAGAGTTGGCTGCGTTGAGTTGGCCATGGCGAGTTGTCCCATTCTGCACTGGGAGAAAGGGGACAGGGAAAGGAGCCATGGAGGAGAGAGATTGGTCATGGTGGTGGATGGAGAGAGACATGTGGCCTGCCAAAGCAGAGAAGGAGGGATGGGAAGAAGGGAAGGGAGGGAGGAGAGATGAAGGTGAACTCAACGGTGAAGCTGTTCCTCAGCAGGATTCAATCTCCTTTGGCCAAAGACAGTAGGGTTGGAGATCCTCAGTCATCCAGGTCATGGTTGTCCCAAAGATGCTTTGTCAAAAGGCAAGTGGACTTTCTTGGTTTCGCTTGAAGACGTTTCGCTTCTCATCCAAGAAGCTTCTTCAGCTCAGAAATACCTTCAAGCAAAAAACCAAGGAAGTCCAGTTACCTTTTGGGAAAACATCTTTGGGGCCATGAAGGGTTGGGTTTCAGGATGCATGTGGGAACATTGATGTTGGAATTCTTGGTCCCCATCCTGGCTCCTCTTTCCTCTTGTGCTGCTGCTAATTGTTTGGGGTGCCGTGTTGTTGAACGGGTTGGTGGGTACCACTTTCAACACCTTGCCTTCATCTCCTGCCATCACTTCACTCCCCTCATGAGCTGCCCGCTATCTGCTCACCTGCATTGGTTCCAGAACTTCTCTCACCTGCCCAACCTTTGTCATCCTCCAACGGCCAGGCGGGACCTCAAAAATTGAGGTTCAGGAAGGACTTTGTTGCTTTTTCAATCTTCTCCAGATTTAACTCAAAGCCAACTTTGGGGCATTTCTCCCTTTTATTTCCAAATCCCGATGGGTTGCAACTCTGAAAAATGGATTGATCCACCACTGTGGTTTAGGGTGAGAAGAAATAGCAGATTGTACGAGCTGAAGCGGGGGGTACAAATGC